TTTTTTTGCTACTCACGCATTGTCTAATTTTAAACTAAATTAAAATTGTTGCAAAAAATGTGTGTGTGACTTTCTATCACACATACTATGTAATTTTAACTTGATATGCCTATTTTTTGCGTCATTATTATCATATCACATGCAAACATAATAGACAATTTTAGAAATGAAAAACATTGGTGTTTTTGCCAAACGCATTTACTTTCTTTTTACAATAATATTCCATTTTATATTGAAATTTTAATATAATATATTTGTTTTTGGTTTTTTCAGTTAACCGTTTTTATCTTTCACTGACCACACACTGTTAATCGCCTTGTGTTAACTGTTTCATTTTATGTGGCAAAGCTCTAATTGTTTTTAATTTCTTTACAGGCATCTCAACGTTGTATGAAGGTCTGGCACTGTTGTTACCCGCACTGTTGGTTTTCCTTTCGACCATTGCCGTCTGCCGGTTGTTACTCTGTCCAGTGCTGACACTGGCCATCATCTATTTTATTCTTTCAATTGTCCTGATAGTGGGGGCCATTCTCTTCAATGAGGGAGTGGTCATCAATAACCTGCACACAGAAGAGGCTTTGCCGGCGCTCTTTCACGTCCTTTTCGCACTGGTCATCCTCTACACGGTCCTCGCCCTCCTTCACATCCTCCTCTATGCTCTGGTCTCCTGTGAACAGCGGCGTCTCCGTCAGAATGGTGACTCGGAAAAGATCATGAAGCAATCAACTGACGACGAGGACGACATTGACGACCCAAAGGCACCCCTCTACGAGGATGGTTTCTCACCGCAAAAGAAAAATGATTTTGAAGAAAAAATCAAAGAGTTCAAGTACATTGACGATGACATGAGTTACATTTTTCGCAAAGGATAATTGCTATTTCTTTTGCGCCCCTCTCTCTTTCTTGACATCGTCGCTAGTCACGCCTCAACGGACGCATCCAGGCAACAGACGGGCATCTCTGTTCATCACCGCCACACCTTTCCAGTCATTCAACTCTTTTTTCCTACTTCCTTTGACTCAGGCAAACTTGTGTTTCAAATTTGTCAGCTAGTTTTCAATCTTAGGTAGTGAGGATTATTGCAAAAACGAAGCATCTACTAACTTATCCATCTAACTCATGCTTGTTCGCTCTCCTTTTTACCATAGTACCATTTTTTCCTTTTTTTCGTTATTGACCCCTCTCTAGTGACATTGACTAGACTACCAATATCTCGTCCAATTCAGTTCAACTCCCCTCCTAGTCACTCTAAACGCTCTGGCTCTATTACCCTTTTTTCACTTTGCCTGTTTGTTAAATTTCATGCGTTTCAAACTGGCTACTCGCACAGGATGCAATCCGTTTTGATACTGTTTTGATATTTCTACTTGATACTACACAACTTTGTAGTGTCATCGATTGCTTTTATCGGTTACACTGTTCACGACCTCTGATCAATCGATGCCAACGAACACCGTCACAGACACTTTTATTGCTATTTTCCTTCTTTTTTCGTACCTTTCTTTGTATAGCCCCCAAACATGTTTCGAAAACTAAAATCAGTCCTCACAATTACTTTTTACTAAAATCTAACGGCAATTTTATCAGCATCAGTCAATTTTTGTACAAACCAATGAATTCTTTTTTGTTCTTTTTTCAAACTATCATCCCACAAACACACATTCAGTCACTTAAAACCGTTCAATTGCTTTTGTTAATACTATTGATTTTACTTTACGTTACTTTTCCTTTTATTTTCACCGTCCTCTTTCAACTCATTGCTTATATTATTTAAACTTTAATTTATATTTATAAAATAAAAAATGCTATATTTTAAAGTTTTTTTAAAATTTAAATTACAAGTTTTGTAAAAACAGTTACTTAAAATGTCTTGATTTAAAAAACATTTATAATCATTTTATATGCAGGCAAAACTTACATTTTCAATAGTTATATGAGAATTTAACTTAAAAATAAAACAGTGCTGCCATCAAGTGTTTTACAATAAAAATAAAAGTTTTAAAACTTTCATTTTAAAAAACTAATTTTTAATAAAAAAAAACAAGTTTTTAGAGAAATTAAGCAAAACTAGCTTCAATTGTGACAAATTGTTTTTGTCCATTTGGTTTTCAAAACATCGGGATTAACTGAACTGCAAAGTTTATCTTTGAAAAGTCCATCTGGATGCATTGACAATTAGTTGTGTTTTTTCTAAAAGAATTGTTGTTTTTATATTATAATGTTACATGTTTTACATTTTTTGGTTTAGTTTTTTATTACAAAAAATATCAATTGCCTATTTTTAAAACTTTATTTTTAAAGTCAACACATGCTAATATTATTAAATAAAAGTAACAGAGGACAGTTATCATCAAATACATAATGGACATTGCTAATTGTTAATTAGCGTTAAGTAAGATAGGTCAGTGATGATAGATCAGGTTCCTGGTGAATTTGATGTTAAATAGAGTGCATTGTAGAAAATTAAAACAGCTGTAAAAGGTGGTCAACAACTGCTAAACATGGTCAACAAAAAAACAAGGTAGTATAGTTGGAAAAAGGGCACTTATGAAATGTTTGCAAGGTGTGTATGTGTATCGAAAAACTAGGCGAGGTGATGAAAGAAAATCAAAGAGTACAGTACTTCTAATGCAGTCTACTCATTGAGGCAGATAGTGCGCACCAGTTGCTCACACACAACGTAAGGGTCCATGTTTGAGGCAGGGCGACGGTCCTCAAGATAACCATAACCATCATCGGCAACCTAAGTACAGCAAAATCACAATTAAGCATTTTTAGATTTATAAACCATATAAATAGGGTTTACCTGTCGAGGGATTCGCACGCTAGAACCACGGTTAGCAACGCCATATGAAAACTTTTCCATTGAAGAGGTCTCGTGTTTGCCAGTCAGTCGGCGGGCATTGTCAGCACCACCAGAGGGATCGTACTTGGAAATGTGCTTGATATGGTTCTTATCAAGCTTAGGCATAGCTGCTTCAATTTCTGCAATGCCACCCTTTGCACGCATTGCCTTGGTGCTAAAGTTGGTGTGAGCACCTAATTGAGAAAAACAAAAATTTGTTAAAACTGCTAAATTTTTGTATTTTGTTATTTAAATATACCTGCACCATTCCAATCGCCGGGAATTAATTTAGGATCAAAGGTGACGCCAATGTGAAAATCTTCAGCAACTCGATACAGCAAAAAGCGAGACATCCACATGTCGTCGCCAATGGAAATGCCTTTGCACGGTCCAACCTTTGTAAATAATAATAAATAATTACAAATAAGCATCATTAAAAATCAAAGTACTTTGTAAGAGTACCTGGTACTCCCACTGTGAGGGCATCACTTCAGCATTTTCCCCGGCAATGTTCACTCCCGCATACATGCAGGCTCTGTAGTGCGCCTCTACGACATCACGACCAAAAACTCGGTTGGCACCGACGCCGCAGTAGTAGGGGCCCTGTGGGCCGGGAAAACCACCAGTTGGCCAGCCGAGAGGCTTGTGACGGTCTGATCCATCGAGGAGAGAGTACTCTTGTTCAATGCCAAACCACGGCTCCTGATCGGCGGCCAGGTCCATGACCAGATTGCAGGAATGGCGAGTGTTGCTCTCTGTGGGTTTCTTGTCGTAGGAAATAGTTTCACAAAGGACAAGCTTGTTGTCGCCTCCTCGGAAAGGATCACTGTACACCTGCACTGGAAGCAGGTACACATCAGCATTTGAGCCATCAGACTGGTACGTGGAGCTGCCGTCAAAGTTCCAGATGGGCAGTTCAGAGGCAGTCTTTGGGACAAAGCGAAGGGTGCGCGTTTTGGCGCGCAAGCCCTGTTTTCCGTCAATCCACACGTACATGGCCTGAACCATGTTCTCTGGCTGCTTCAACGCCATGTACTTGGCCAGTAGGCCGGCGTTCGACTCCAAACTAGTGATGCTCGACATGGCCGCAGAGAAATCTGTAGAGCGTAGGGGAAAATGAAAAAGTGAAAGATGTACAAGCCTGCGCAGGTAGTATTTAGAAAATCAGTCAGTGCTGGTTGACTGTTGCTGAACTATGTCACAACAAAAATGAACTGCTACTTTTTTGGAGGCCCTCATTTTAAATACTAACCCAATGGCTCGACGACGATGTCGCTAGCAATGGAGGAGGTGGCGGTGCTGGCTAATCAGAAGCTATGATGCATTCAAGTGTGTGTGTGTGAGTGAGTGAGAGTGTGTAGATGTCGAACGATGCGGTGGCACGTCTTCCACCAGACATTGTGACGCCGAGTGAGGGAGGCAAAGAAGAACGGCTGCAACGAAGAAGGAGACAGACAGACCTGCCACAGACAGCCGGCGTGGTACGACAATCGGCGGTGTGAACACACTGCTGATGCTTCCCACTTCTAGTGCTAGCCAGACTCCAACACACACACAATACACTTCTCAGGGGTAGTAATATTACGACAGGCAACTCTATCATCAAGTTGCAAATACTATCAGTACACTTGATATCGGCACTGCTGTCTGTTTCTCCTGTACATCTGCTCACTACGACAGATGTCAAATGCTTATCAGGCACCGGTGATCGAGTCACTTTAGAACGCTGATCAGTTGCATTGTCCGATTGGAATTGTTCCACTGCCCCGGTTGGGTAGGGGAAAAAAGCTTCTCAAAAAAGGTAAACTGATGACACAAACTCCCACTGAGAAAAAGAAAGAAAGCTTTGTTACTGCTTCCCTTGTGTTTTGTTTATTGAACACTAAGACCAATGGGCGACCTTGTTCATGACTCTTTTGTCACTTTAACACTACAAATAATGTGCGTGACAAATCAAAAGTTTTTTAACTATATTGTTTCTACTGTACTTTTGAAGGTTTTTTAGGCAAACATCCACCCATCCACCTAACGATGCCATCTCTAATTTATCTAACAAAAAAATTTTTCAATACTCAATGAAAACATTAGCATATCGCAACAAACTACACAAATATACAAAAGCGGTTGCCATACGCTAAAACTTTTATACAAATTAAAAAAAGTTGAAACAAATAAAGTAGTTTTAGAAATTCTGTACACACTAGAATTGTAAAACTTAACAAAATTGTCAGTTTTGATGCAGTTGCTGCTAGGTTATCCATTTCACAACTTAAAAATAAGGTCAAGGTTCTAAATCTAGATAATTCAATTTTGTGGTTTTTAGTAGGCAAATGTATATTTAAAGATCATGACAGTGATTATGTGATTTGGTTAAGTTTAAAGACCAAAATGAACTTGCGCCATGTGATTAGCTGGTGGTGATTGGAAGCTGATGTGTTGATGGACTCTCAATTGACAATGTCAAACAAGTCAATCGGATCACATTCACGACAACACCATCACTACCAACAGCATTAGCTGTAATCAAACAGCTGTCAGTGATGAGCCATGCAAGTGAGAAGATGTCATCGATAGTGAACGTGGTCAGAGGGAGTTTCCTGGTTGAGGAAACACTTGCTCGGGAGATAAGGAGGACGCTGCAAAGTCCGTTAGCAACATCGAATGTCAGGCAAAAAGTGAAACCCTCTTAAGCTGGCCTTGTGCTGACACTTCCACCCATCATCCTCTATGTTTTTGCCTTATCAAATGCAAATCTTTTTACCAGAGAGCAAAGCACTTTAAACATATTTTCTGGTGTCGATATTCAACTTTGATAAATGTATCCAGTTAACTGTATAAAAGATAAGTAAAAAAGTCAATGAAATATAAAAAACAAAACTGAAACAAGATAATCAGTTGAAAGTTAGTTCTGGTCCTTGGACTGCAATCAAAGCGGTTTTCTCTTTGAGGCATTCCTGCAAAAACCGTTTGCCATGTGACGGCCAACTAGGCGAAAACTGCAAAAACCGTTTGAAAAGCTAGAAATCACAAGATGTTCTTTCTTTGAAATGAAAGAAAGAAGGCCACTACCAGTCGTACGATGGCTAGTTTGCCGATTCGATTTCTTCAGTCTAATTGATTGATTGCTTAAGGGGGGACAGCGCGCACCATAAAATATTTTCGAATTTTTTA